CTCAAGCGCCGATCCAAGAAATCCGCGCGAAGTGCCAACAATTCTTATGTTTACGGCGCTTGTTCCCCTTCGAGACTCACGGGCGAGGTACCTCAAACAACGTAAATCCACACGTGGATCCCTTCCCATCCTCAAATTTAGGTCGGGCGTGTCGCCCCACAGGCGGATCTTGGAGGAAAAAGGATGCTTAGTTAAACAAGTGCTCAGCAGTTGTCAAACATAGTCCAAGAATCGTTCCCAGGCTATCTTTTGATTATTTTTTGAGCTTTCCTCCTGTAGAGGGGCAGGGTCGACTTAACCCCAGGCCCCCATCCCTCAGGATCACACCTCCGTCGGTGGGATCTTGAGTTGGCGACGTGCCGCCTTCGCCCAAGCTCCGTTCGCATTTGGGTCGGGAGGAGGAGGAGGAGGAGGAGGGGGAGGAGGAGGAGGAGGCGGAGATAAGGAGGAGGAGGAGGCGGAGGAGGTTGGGCGAAGGCGGCGCTTCCTCGACGCTCGGGCGCCCCCGATGGCCTCGGGGGCCTCCGCTCTCCCATCCCCCAGGCCGGGGCTGAGCGCCCTGGCCCTCCAGGCCAGGGCGCTGCCCCTGCCCGGCAGGACGAAGCCGGGACGAGGGTCCATTCGGGTGAGGACACATCGAACACCTCTCAGATCTGGCGGCTCTGAATAGATCCGGATGAGAATACATTCGGGAGAGGGTACTCCAGATTTCGTCATAAAGGGAGGGGGGTCTCATTTCGGGGGGGGTCTCTTCCAGGCTATCTTGGAGGGCCTGGGGGGGCCTGGGGACGATGTTTTGGAGGGTTCTCCCACGGGGGGGGGTCTGAAATGGCTTGTCTTGGAGGGTCCAGACCCCCTCCCTTTTATTACGAAGTCTGGAGTAAGATCCGGCGGCTCTGGAAGATGTCTCGGGCGCCGCGGCCTTCTCAGAGCGTTGCGGAACGGTCCGAGAGCGTTCTTGAACGCTCGGGAACGGACTTGTCTGCGTCCTAGCCCCGTCCAGCCCAAGTTGGCGAATTGCACGCGCCCGCGCTACTGGGCCTCGACATGGGAGGGGGCGCGTGAGGACACACGGCCGGACCCAGGACAGAAGAGCATCGTTCGAGAACGTGAGACCCTCCGCCTGCTACACTGAAGAACATTCGAGGGTACTCTCCCCCAGGATGCACAAGAACATCCAGCAAACGCGAAGAACATCAGGGTCCCCTCCCCGAGCCGACCTCGCTCTCTCACCTCGGTCCGGCCGTGCCCAAATCTCCGACGGTATGATGTTTTCTTCAACTGGGCGTTTTGCCTCTGGGATGCGGCACCTGCGGGCCGTTGCCGTTCCTGGGGCCCCGGGGCCATCAATGCTTTGATCCGAGACGAGGTGCTGCCACCGGGGGAAGCGGCGTCGGGGCCTCCGGGGCCGCGCGCTGACAAGAGCACACCGTCAGACGCCGTGCCTCTGGTGGGGACGCACGTCTGACCCCAACACGTAAGATGAGGTCGGGCGTGTCCCCCATGCAGGCGGATTTTGGACGAAAAGCGGAAGATACCCGAACAACTTCTGAGTATCCCTCCTGTGGAGGGACATGCCCGACTTAAGTGCCAAATAACATCTCGTAGAACGTGTCGTCCCCCGAGCGGTTGCCAGAACACGCCCTCCACGGAACGAGCACTCCAAGATTTCCGAGCATGTGCGTCGCCATTGCGTGGCCGACGCGCATCTCGTATACGTATGTCTGCCGGCGGGCCGCAACTGGATCGAGTCGCGAAATCAGAGAAGGTCGGGACAAATTACCAAACAGAGCCTTGCACCTAAGCGTTCTTGATTGTCTGTCGAATCGAGGCAAATTACCAGACGGTGCTTGCACGCAAAGGTTCCTGCTTGTTTGCCATCGACAATTGGGCCTGTTTGGCGGGTCTGCGTGACGGTCTGGTGGCTCCCTGGTCGCCGTCGCCGCCTCGTCGCCGCCCTAATCATGCACAATATCGGCTTTTCCTTCCATGCAACGAATGACCTTATCGCCCCCCCGGCTTTATCCCCCTCCCGGATCGTGCACTTTAGACATGCTTCCGCGCTATCGCTCAGTTTCTATGTGAAATCGCACCATCGCATCTGCACCCGTTATCGTCCCCCGTCATCCCTGTCAAAATCATACTTTGCGCGCGCATTCGGTTGTCATAAACCATCACCGGTCCAAGAACCCGTTGCAACATGTCTGACAACATCGACACGCTCGCGTCGTCGCGCGCGCATGCTGGACCCAGTTGAACAACGCCGGCTTCGTGAGTGCTTCAAGGTCGAAGCTCCCGACAGCGTATCCACCGCAGTGGCTTGGCAACGCGATTTTGCTTTCAAGGCAGAAAGGGTCTGCGCGTGCGCTCGTGCGAAGTCCTGCGAAACACATGGGTTTGTTACACTTTCATCTCATGCGACCACGCGGGCCTCGCGCGCACGAGCGTGCAGAAATCATTCGAACCTCCCTGTGCGCTTGCTGGGAGGAAGGGGGGTGGGGGGGGGCGCGATCTCTGCCAAACAAGGCCATGCAGGCCACTCGCGCTCGTCGGCCGCGCGCGCATGTCGAAACCAGGTCAAAACTCAAACCTTCATCGCCGACGCGTGGACACCATCATCGCCATCAGCGTGGTCAGCATCGGCGCCGTCAGTGGCTCTGCCGACGTCATTGTCTTCATCGTCACCGATATCGCTACTATCATCATGTCTGCCGTTGACGACGTCGCCATGGTACCGCACCCGCCCGAGTCACCGACTCGCCCTGAAGTGCCCGTGCGTCAGCGCAGCCATCGAGACGCGCTGGGAAGTGCCCAGCGGTCAGCGTCACCGCGGCCGCGTCGGTCACGCCAGACTAGCTGGCCGCTCTGCGAGCGAACCTGCGCGCGCTAGCGCGGCCGCAGCGATGTGCCAGCCTGCGCGAAGCAATAATTACAATCACGGCGGCATGGGTTATGCAAACCAGAATGCGTGTGGGTGGGTGGGATGATTGCGCGAAGAATGGAGTTGACAACTTCAAGTCCAGCAAGGTGAATTCCAACACGTAGATTGCACAACATAGATTGCACCATATATAATTCAAAACATAGGAGTGCACACCATAGTTCGGAAAGCGCGCCAAGAGAGACAGCACCATGGGGGGGGGCCTAACTCCCCCCTCCCATTGGACCTCCTCTGTCGAGAGCTCTCCGACACTCAGATTGTTCGCCGCCCGGAAGCTATCCCCCCTCCCCGCGCCCCCTGCTGAAGGCCTCCCTCCACCCTTCCCCCTTTCCCGCTGCGACCCCTGCAAGCAATTTTCCCCTCTTTTACCTTACCTGTCCGAAGCTCCCCCCACTCCACAATTTTCGGTCCTCGAAAACTACACCTCTCCCCCTTCCGGCGCATGTGCCGAAGCCCCTCCCCCCCTCTCCCCCGTCCCCCCTGCAAGCTGTCCCCACCTCCTCCGTGGACCTCTCCTGTTGGAAGCCCTCCTCGTCTCCCCCCCTCCTTTTCATTTGTCGCGCCTAGGAAGCTGCCCCCCCCTCAGGCACCTTCAGGCACCCCTGCAGGAAGCCCCACCCCCTCCCTCCCTCCTTGCCCCGCTCGACCCCTGCAAGCTACCCATCCCCACTCGAACCCCCCGGTTGGAAACCCTCCCTAAAGCCTCAAGCGTCCGCCCTACGCCAGCCCTAACCACAAAGCTCTACGCCCTATGCCCTAAGCCTTAAACTCTCAGCCCTAAGCCCTACACCCGCGCCCTAACCCGTAGGCCCTAAGCCCTGATCCCTGAGCCTTCGGCCCTCGGCCGTAACCCCCAAATCCTAAGCCCTACGCCTTAAGCCCTAAGCCCTACGCTCTGGGCCCAAAGACCCCCCCCCTTCAAATTCGACGGGGAGGAAGGGGGTATCTTCCGAAGCCCCCCGCCTTTGCGCAAAGGGCAGCCCGAGCTTACCTCGTCGTCCAGAAGGGAGGGGGGGGCTTCCAGAGCCCCCACCCCCCAGTGTCCCAGGTTGCTGGAGAAGAATGGGGGTAGCTTCGAAAGCCCCCCTCCCACCTGATGAGAAGAAGGGGGGGGGGTAACTTGAAGCTGGGGCACCCTTTTGTTCTTCGCGTATCCCGCAGCCCGCTTTTCTAATTTCTACCATTTCTATAACACAACACATTTATATATATATATATATATTATTGGAAGAACATATACTGCACAACATGTATAGCAACGCCTCTATCTATTTACACGCATATACACACTATATATAGCTCAGCATAAACTGCGCCACATCAATTGCACCACATATACTGCATCACACATATTGATTGCACCACAGAGATGACACAGCACAGGTAGCTGGAACACACACCGTGTGGGGCCCACGCTGGCTGATGACCTCAACCGCATGGCCGCGCCCAGCTCTGGCTGCCCCTGTCCGCTGCTGGTGAACCGAGCCGAGTGGACTCGGCTCGACTCGCGTCGAATCGGATCGTGGGCGGCCCTGACTGGTGCCCCCGAATCCGTGCAAGCTGGCAGGGCTTCCCTCCCTGGCGTCGTGCCCCGCTCCAGGAAGGGCTCTTTCTCAAGTGTGCATTTACCTCCAGGAGGGGCCTACGCGTCAGACGCGATCTCCATGTGGCCAGAGCTGGATCGATCGTGCTTCGCGGCGCTACAGTGAGCTACAGCGGTGTCAGGACCGATGGTTCCACACGCGCTGCCCGTGGCCGAATTAGTGTGTCAACGCTTTCGAGGGGCTGGTAATGGCAGTTGGAGCTGTCTCTTGCATCTTGATGTTTCAGAATCTTCAAGCCAGCTCCGATGCAACCTTGGTTCACGCCATACTAGTGCATCGCGTACCACTGTTGTGAAACGCATATTCGGCTGTGGATCGCCAACCAATTGCTCGGGCAATTGCTGATGCCATGGGCGCTAAAAAGACGTGTCCCTCCTCCTGGCCCCACTGTATACGTGCATCCGTGGCATTACAAACAAGCATCCGCATGGTCATTCTCGCTACCGCCCGCTGTCCTTCGGCTATCTCGGAGATGTTCTGGCGCTGACGCGCCGCTTGCTCGCCGGTGTGGAAGCTGGTCTCTTCGTCCCTGTCTTGGCAGCACGGGTCGCCCCCTGGTGGCGCCGGCGGGAACACCAATCATCTTCCTCAGCAGATATCACCACCGCGGGCCGTCGAGGCACACTCTTGGCCATCAACTTCATACTTCACCTAACATGTGCTGCCCAAGAAACGCGAACCACTAATATGTGAACATGGGACCGCGATGCCGCCTGAGAGAGACAAGGACACACATACTCGCATCTCGGGCACCTCGGAACCTCCAAATCCACAACCCGTGGCCTCAAAGATGCCCACTTCATCGAATAGAATTGCTCAGTGTGGGCTCCACAACGCGGGAGCGGCCTCAGGACCACCCAAGATGGCCTCAAGACGGCTTCCACACACACGCATCGTCGAGTCTCGCAATGTCTTCTGGTGATCTCGCGCTTTCGAGTGTCTGGGCTTCTGCGAGCCAGTGGCGGCCCTGGAGGCTCGCCCAGATTGGCCCATGACAGCTCAATGACCTCCATTCAGAAGGCCCCAAGACGACCCAACACGCCCCAAAGACCCCAAGCCCGCCCTCAAGAGGGCTCCAAAAGACGCTCAAGACGGGGAACTCGCAGGAGCTCTAAATCTGCTCTTCCCACGAGGCCGCCCCCGAGGTCTCCCAAAGGCCCCCAGCAGCCCAGCAACATATGCAAAGGAAGAGGGGGACAAGTCAGCAACAACTACATGCAAGCAACACGACGGGAAATTGCAACCAAGCGTCAAAGTGGAACCCGCAAGCGTCATTTTCTGGGGAACCTTGCCATGATGTAAAAACGCACCGCGTACATTCGAAAGGTTAACCCTGTGTCGGTGAGAATAAACCAGCACAGACAATACAGTTCGGGGTCCAGGACAGATAGTAGACTTTGGCCCAGATGCATCGATGTTCGGATGCCTGGATCGGTCTTCAAGGGCCTCCTTTATGGGCGTTTCGCTTGAGACATCCTCACAACAATGGATGACACGGGTTACTCATGATGCTATCCATGATATGAAGATCATAGCTACGATGCGAACTTGGGGGGGGATCGTGAAGTTCGCCCCCACCTGTCGTGACAATTTGAACCATCGAGAAACCAGGGATAATCAGATGTGACGGGTTGCGGGGGGGACTATTCATTCAATCGCTTCGCTCATTCCGCCGGCCCGTACTGTGCCATCGCAAGCGATTGCCTGCGCGTTCGTGGCCTCTTGGGGCCTCTTGGGACTTCTTTTTGAGCCTCTCTGGGCGAAAAGCTCGAGTTGGTGGTTCGTGTTTCCCCTCTTTGGCCCCTCTTGGAGCTGTCTTGGGCCGTCTTGGGCGCCTCTTGGGCCGTCTTGGGGCCCTCATGGGCTCTCTTAGGCCCTTTTTGGGGGTGTGTTGGGCCGTGTGGGGACGATGTTGGAGGTCTCTGGGGCAGTTCTGGACGCTGTGAACCCCCAAACGTCGTCCATGCGAAAAGTGTACGTTTTCCGATGGTAATGGGACGATTTTTGCTTGTTGGGGCCCTCTTGGAGAGCTTCTTGAAGCTCTCTTGGGGCTTTCTCGCGGCCTTCGGGGCCATCTGGAGACCATCTTGAGTGTCTTGCAGCGATCTTTCGGCGATTCGGCGCCTCTTGGGCCGTGCGGGGGGCGCCCCGGCGCCCTCTTGGCGCGCTCCTGGTGCGCCCTGGCGGAGTCGTCCGGGCGCCGGCGGGGTACAGTGGAGGCCCGTCGACACTGTTAATCTGCCACAAGAAACCCAATCCTTAGACCCCAGGGCGTCCATTGGTTTCTGGCGTGGGAGCGCCACGCTTTCCATCGCCAAACCACTGAAACCCAAAGAACTCAGGGCACCCTGGAGGCAAGCAGGGTGTTTCTTGGCATAAGCCTCCGCTGCACTTTTCGCCGAAGGGACCCCAGGGGGCGCCCCGCGCGCACGAACTAGAAATACTGCTGGCCAGTTGCCGGGGATCGTCTTAGCACGCCTTTGGCCCGTGGGGCGGGCGAGTTGTCGTCGAAAGGTGGTTGGGTTTTGCGTCGGCATGGGGGTATAGCCCTGCCGGTGCGTCGGCGTCGGCGTTTGCGTCGGCGTTTGTCCTCGATTAGCCCTGGTAGCGGTGCGATGGCAGTACATGGGGTGAACGAGGTGGTTGTGATGCCCCTTTTGTGTGGCTGTGTTGGGGGCCGTGTACACAGGGCGCCAATCACTCCCATGAGCACGCGGGGGCGTGTCCTCGAAATAACACTGCGATCGCGAATCATGGTGGTGAGTGAGTTGACGGCGATGCCCCTTTATGGTGGCGGTGCCAGGGGCCCTGTTCGCACGGCACCTGCCTTTCCCTGGAACTTCATGCCCCAGGGTGGTCGTAGATGGCTTAATTTGAAAAAAAGCCGAGCGCCTGAACCCAAATTGGCCCAGATGTCGGGAAGGAAGAACATACACTATCGCGTTCGCACGCGGGGGCGTCTCCTCGATCAGCCCTGATAGCGGTGCGGTAGTGGTGCATGGGGGTGAACGAGGTGGCGGTGATACTCATTTTATGGGTGGCGGTGCCGGGGGCCTTGTGCGCAAGGCGCCTGCCACTCCTCAGAACTTGATGCCCCCTCCCCACGATGGGAGCGAGATGCCATTGAATCTCCCGGGCCCCCGCCAGGGGCGCTGCGAGCGTCGAGGGCCCGACCGCCTTCTCACCTCGCTCCTTCTTCCTTCTTTTGCGGCGCCGTCGCCGTTGCGCGCGGCTCGCGTGCGCGCGGGGCCTAGAGGCGCGGTCTCGAAGCCTTGCCCATCTTTCCTCCGCGGTTGAAGCCCCCCACCTTCCCAGACCCCCGCCCCCGCCCGCGGCGGAAGGGCGGGGGTTTCCGAAAGTCAGGGCGAGGGCCGCGTCCGTGTCGGGGCCCAACCAGAGGGTGGGCATTCGGGATGATCTCGAAGGTACGCCGCGCCACCGATCGTAGACCCTCCCGGCGCGGGGGGCCGCCGCCGAGCCCCGCCCGGGGCGCGACCCGAGGCGATCGGGCGACGGCCCCTGAGCGGGGATCCTCGATGTGCTCCGAGCGGCCATGCCCGCGCGACGTCGTCCGCGGCGCGCTGAGCGGGGTTGTCGCCGCGGTCCGAACGCCCGCGTCGTCCGCTGCTTCCGTGGCCGTGCCCAACTGCGGGCGTTCCCCCAAGGGGGCCGCCCCCCCCCCTTCTGCGGTCGTCTCGCGGCACTCTTGGTGGCCAGCGCCGCCTCGTCGAGCGCGTGCCCCCTCTTAGGTCTGTGGCCGCCGCGTGGGTCCTGATTGGGCTCGGGGAAGTCCGTCGTTCTCATGTTGCTGGGGTCGCGCGCCTCCTGTTCCCATCTTGCCTGGGCTCTTTTCCTCCGAGAGCCCAGTGGGGGTGGCCGCCGCCGGCCGCTCTTTCTACTCGGTCTGGGATGTATACGTGGGCGTCTCCAGGCTGTCCGTCGGCGCCGTCGTCTTGAGGATCGCCACCTGGTGGAACTCCCTGGGCCTCGGGGGCGGCTTCGCGCAGAGGCGCATGCCGCGGAACTTCGGCGGTGCGAAAACCTTGTTCGGGCCGTCTGCCGCGCCCGCGCCCGAAGCGGCCCTTCCTTTTCTACTGCCCGCGCGTGCCGACGAGCTTCCCTCGCGTCGCCGTCTGGCGGTGCTTCCCAATCGCCTGGCCGGCGGCGCCCTCCTTCCGCCTTCGCGCCCGAGCCGGGGTGCCTGGCGCCATCGGTTTCGAGCTGGCTGGGCGCCTCTTGTATTTGCCCCCTCGTCGGCGCTTGCCGACCCCCGCGGGCGCGGGCCCGACCGCCTGCGGCTGGGTCTTTTGTCGCAGACGAGCCGGGCGCGCACCGCGGCGGCCTCTCCCTGACAAATGCCGTCGCTGCGAGAGCATCAGGCGCCGCCGGCCTGCTGCCTCCTCGCCCCCGTGGATGCGGCCGCGCTCGGCCGCCCCGGCGCCGCGCCGCCGCCGGCGCCGCCTCGCCTCCGAGAGACCCGTTGCGCGAGCGGCGTATGCTCAACGTGGAAGACGACCGCGCCCCCCTCGAGGCCGCCCCGCGCCCTGGCCCGCCGCTCCCGGGGGCCGGGAAAGGCGCTGAGACAGGGCGATGTCACGGCGCAGTAGGTCCATGCCTCGACGCATCGCGAGCGCGAGCTGCCTCGACCTGATCGCCGCCAAATCGCCGGCGTCGGCGTGCCGTTCCACGGGCCATTCGCTGCCCAGAAGTCGGGGGGTCGCTCGCAGTCCGGCGCCGAACATTTCGGTTCCCCATTGTTCTGAAGCGCTGGATCTGCCATAGAGGCGTCGATGTTGTTGCGATAGATCTCGTTCTCGAACTCGCTGGCGAGCGGGCCCCGGCGGCCCGCGCGGGTCTACGGCGGCCGCTGGGGGCAGAACTCCCCTCCCGATGGGGTCGCGCGGAGCCCCGCTGCTGCTCGCGCCCGCGCCCGCCTCCGTGAGGGGGGGCGGGCGGTCCCTCGGCCGAGGACTTTGGCGGCGCCGCTTGCGCCGAAGGGGGCCTCGGCGTTCGCGGCGACCTGCTGGGCCACTGGCAGAACCGAAAGCCGTGTGTTCAGGTGCGTGCCTGCCGCGCGCTCCGCCTCTGCCGCGGCGGCTCGCGCCGTGCTGCCGGCGGGCGCGTCGGGGGCGGGCGTGGCCCCCTCCTCGGCGAGCCTGGGTGCCCCTGTGTCTGGCCCCCCCTCGCGGTGTCCCAATGCTGTCCGTCGAACGCGCGTGGCGGCCAGCCCGATGTCCCCCTCGTGGCCCGCGCCCGCCTGTCCGAGCTGTCCTGATGTAGCTCGAAACCGAAGGTCTTCCTGACATTCTCATGCCGCCTCCCCCCCGGCGCGCCGGGCGACCCCGCCCTCGCCTCCCTCGCGGGGCCCCGCGTCGCAGACAGCGTGGCCTCGGTTCTCAAGCAGAAAAGCGGCCGCGACGCGCGCGACGAACCTGCTGCCCCAACCGCGCAGCGACGAGCGCGCCCCCCGCCCGCGGCGGCGGGGGGGGGGCGCGCGAACGGGCGGGCGCCTTCGCGGCGGGGGGGCGCCCGCGGTCGACGGGCATCGGGGCTG